TCATTCATATCAAGGCGCAGGATTGCATAAACACATTCATGATTTGAGTTAAAGCGCAAGATTATATAGGTACTTCTCCATATTACCAATACTAGTGTAGTTAAATCGGTTTTATTTTTGGAACTTTCGGCATTTGTAAAGATAGTTGAGCTAGCAATAAATAGAGCACTACATAACGCTAGTATAATGGTATGTATACGAAATGAGGGAAAGGTAACTAATCATTTAACAATTAGAGGCATTTTAATCAAGTCGTTTATTCTACTATACATATGTAATTGAATATATGATATCCATACCAATCATATACATTTCCCTCTGTAATTGATGACTTACTATGTGTAAACATGCCACGGGTGAATACTCTCTGCATAACTAAAATGTACGTACATTTCAACATTGAAATACCATTGAAATACCGATTCTTGAATACCATTAATAAGAATAGTCAAACTCAATGAAAAATAGAAAAGATATTTTGAGAGCTTTAGTCTTGAACATAAAATATGTTATATTTAATTTTTTATGACGTTGGATATAACTATCAAGGTTTCTTTTGAAATATCTATATGCGTTTTTTCCATGATGGCAGGCATAAGAGTTTAGTGATTTCGCACACTGACAATTCGATGCAAATCGGGTTGCAATGAAATAAATATACTATTACTACAAATATAGTATGACTATATGAAACAAATATTACGATTAGACTTTGACGCAGTGTGTCCATTCCGCTGTGGTATTAATATTGTAAACGTTACCGTCTACAAAACGTTACCGTCTACAAAACGTTACCGTCTACAAAACTTTACCGTCAACAAAACGTTACCGTCTACAAAACGTGATGTCCCGGCTAAACTAATCGCTGTTTCCTTAAATTCAGTCGGAAGACCTACAGAGCACGAAGGTTAAAACGATTAATTCTATGAACACAAGTATATAGTTTTCAGTATGATTCTTCTAAAATATTGCATTGGTAGTAATGCCACCTTCGGAATCGACGAATCGGCTAACAAGTATCTCATTCCCACAAATTTCTCACGAACATGTCTGTCACAGTGTAAGGCCTGCTTATCGCAATTGAGAGGGCCACCCACAGAACTCACACTGGACAAGAGGCTCTTTCCATGCTAAAATGGGATAGACAAGACAATAGTACTGGAAATGAAATACACATACACCAAACTATCGAGTTAAAGCGTATGACATAAATACCTGAATTGAACAAATGAAGGGAGAAAACCCAGCAAAAACAAGCCGGTTCCATTTCTGGTCAAAATGTTCATTTAACCGGATGTGTTGGCATTCGATCAGTTCAATGTCCCCAAAAAGATAATTGTTACATTGCTCAGCGAATTCATTTCGCGATAAATGTAACATTAGGCAGCATGCGCGCTTTTGTCCCTTGTACTATTCATACTTCATTCTATCGAACAGCTGTATTCTCAGCTTAATTAGTGTTCGCATAACATCCAACGTTCTTACAGTGTAGCAGTATGATTCTAGAACATTTGATGATGACGTGTAAATAATAATTATATTCACAATTTTGTGAATTATCTATGGAAATGAAATTGTTAATAACGGGTTTTCAAATTGTTAACATTTTAAATATATAATAATACTATTCGTTTAATTCAACAATTGCTAAACAAATATTCTTATTAAGTGCTTTCAACCAAAGTTCCCCGAGTCTGCTAACACATTGTGCACACCGTAGCATGGTGATATCCGAGTAAACAGTTTAAATGTATTTGAGGAAATAAAATTGAGGAAAAAAGGGGTAAAAAGATTCAAGATACCTTCGTCAAATGATTAATTATACTCTCCACTGCACCGAGGGTAGCATTGTATGTGTGCAACATACGCCATAATGGATTAATATGAATAGCACGACAGGATTGTCTCGTTTTTACTCACTCCTGTCAGCTTTGGTAATAGAGTTTTTTTTTCTTTTGTGCGTGTTAAATAAGTGTTATGCATGGGGTAGTTTACCAACATTGCACCGAGACACCAGCATAGACATAGTGGTATGTCGCTTAGAATTTGAGCACGCGAAAAGGGAAGCGTGGGTGTAATTGTTATTGTTACTTCTCTGTATTGTTTATTGTTCCCCTTTATTAAGGTTGTTAACGTATGAACTATATTAAATTGCGTGGCACCATATAGTTTGGTTTTTCAATGGACAGAAAACAATTCATTATGAATTCAGTTCATAGCTGCATGGAAAGCGTACAGTAGATGAATTTTAAACGAGTTTTTTTATTTAACAGACACTCTCCAGGAATTGACGAAACATGTCTGGTACGTACAAATGTGTAGTTTTCTTGCTTGTTGCAGCAGTACTGGTAAACGTCGTATACTCCAAGGTACGTTGTACGTAAATACTATTGCCAGCTTATAGAGTACTTGGTGTAAATAGAATGTTTTTCAAACAAAATATCATTTTATTTTTTGTGTGAAAGTGAATTGGAAACTTTTCATATTTGATATTATAAATGTACTATTATAAAAAAAACTTAATATGTCGTTATGGTGTGGGACGTGCTACCTCTTTCATAACCCAATAACAATGGAGCTGTGTATTTGGCTGTTCATTTCATTTCATTTCATTTTCTACTGTAGAATGATGACGATAATAACGACGGATATATGGAAAGACGCGGAAAAGGTTGGTGACGATATTTTCTTCCTTTTTGTTACAAACACCGATTCCCAGAAACAATTAAACATTTCGCTCATGACATATGAATTATACTATTTGTAAACAAAACACAAAGTAATGTTTGCTCCAACGAATGTAATCCTGTTTTATTTTTAAAACACATTTTAGCAAGGGTTGGCGAGCTTTTTATATTAAACTGTTTTACTGGGTATAGTATTGACCATGCCTCTGATTCGTGAATCTTTCTACTATACAATCACCGTGATAGAATCGGCTTCATTTTTGTGACTTTCTTTGTAACTCGAGTAATCGCCTTATTAAAATAACGTTCGTTTAACTGTGCTACAATTTCTGTACATTGCCATGTTTGGGAAATATAACAATATTATGCCACCTATACATTGTCATCAAAAAGGAGTAAACCATATAATAACATTTTCGAAATTTGTATTCACGAGGTAGAACATCTCGCACATGCCTGGTCAAGGTTTACACCGTGTAACAGGTTGAGTACATATGTCCTCAACGTATGTCTGGTATGATTTTAATTTTACTTTGTTTTGTCTACAGGTAAGCCCAAATCAACTCTCAAATTCGTAGACCTACGCCTACCACTGTGATATGCGTGTTGTATAAAGTTTTCAAGAATGCTTTTGACATACACAAGGCCCATTTTTAGTCTGATATACTTTATTGTGTTTCTCATATATATTCACAGTAACAAGTTGTCCCCCTATTGAACCAGATGACGTCGGCACGTGTTCCAACAATTATAGTTGTGACACTGATGATGACTGTAAAAGAAAAGAGAAGTGCTGCATTAACGCGTGCGGCTCTTACACGTGCGTTACGGCTGTTTGAAATAGTAACTGTTTAAACGAGGTATATTGCATTTTAAACTCATATCTTATATCGTGCTTTTAATCAGTCTCAATAAAAACAGAATACAATAAACTCACATGCGTAAATCCAAAGAAATATAGAATGAAACTCGGAGCCAAGTTGACAAGCATTGCTCGCAACATTACTTGATCTATCATCGTACACCAATAAATAAACACACGTAGACTTGCTGCCTGTCAAATGCCGAACACCTATACAACCAGAAAAAGTGGTATATTTGAATAACATAGTTTTACGGTAGTGACCTGGAAAACGGGGTACAATTTAGTGATTCAGATATTCTCTGAACATTATTAAGCATGATACTAAAACAACATATACATCATCTGAAAGCTCAGATATAGAAAAATACCGTAGTGCATATGCGAAACAAATGTTTGTCAAAGGGGTTACCAGACGGCCATTTTCGTTATTTAGATTTCTTGAGTTTTTCCGACCACATCTATTAAAAACAACGGGTTTTTAACACTTTCCATCACGCAAATTTCTCAGAGATTTTGTAACTCTGCAGAATAGACAATCTTGTCCCGGTTTCTCTTTATCTGTTTTTCGTATTCTGTAGCTACGGCAACACTATAGACATACCACCGTTGTCAGTATCTGTCTGTAATTATTTGGTCGTAGCATTTAAAAATAATCATATGCGGAAAACAGAAAAGCCTAGACGCGATCGTCTAACGTACAGCATTACGGACGTTCTGTTCAAATGACACGTAACTACCAGTATTAAAAACGGGTGCCAACAATAGTCGGAATGAAAAAAAGAATCTAATTAAAAATAGATTTTTTAGGCAAATATTGTACGTTTTCGCCTATAGGCTTTCAGTTTGTTGTAGTAACATATTTAGTAAATTTTAAAGAATTTCTGAATTGCTGTTTAAATATTAACTCGTTTTTCCCCTTGTTGCTACTTAATCAGTTATGTCATTTTTTACATTACAGAAGCGTTTCGTCACTAGAGGGCGCGACTTTTCTAAAAAATTGATGTAATAGTGGTAGAGAGGTGCGCCCTCAATTGTCCATAAATGTTTCTCTCTCTTGTGAATAGTGTATTATTGTCGAAGGTTTAACAATACCCGGATTACAAGCGTCGTACACTGATTTAAATATCAATATCAACACATACGCGATTTCGCGAATGTTTTTTCTCGTTGTCTATTTCAATTAGTTTTTGTATTGTCTGGAATTATCCGCAAAGGTGTTCAACCGGGAATGTTTCATTTTATATGTTTTCTACCCGGGCCCAAAACACTATTAAAGACACGTACATAACACGGTCGTTATATGATGCTGATTGTGATGATGGTAATGGTAACTGTGATGATTAGACCATACAGTTATTAAGCAAGCGCCCTCATGTTTGTCCTACTTTTCGCTGGTTCCCGTCGTCCTTTGCGAATCGCAAGTAGGACGCAGGTCATTGACGCTGCAGGTCGGCGTCTTCTACACCGATCTGACGCATATCGCGCAAGGTGTGCCGGGAGTTTGTTCGAAATTTCGAAAGTTTCGAAGTCAATCGTCGATTGCCACATATTTTACGGATATATTAAATCGTTTCAGAGACCTGTTTACTAAATAATGATAAATGAAAGTATTTTTTGAGACACGTTTTCGATCGGACTCCAGCTAAATGTTGAAAGTAAGCCCAGGTTTTCTCTTTACCATGATCATAGCAAGTTGCGATATTCATGGAGAATGCAGAGGCACGTTTAAATTTCACTCTAGTACTATTGCTCAAAATTGCTCAAAATGTTTTCGGTGACTTTTATCAGTGACAAGTTACCTAATTAGTATGCATTTCGAGAAACCACAGTGAATATTAATTTATGCAAATGAGACGAGTATTTCAACCAATTGTGTCATGCAACTCCCCCCTGCACTGCACAAAGCAGCTTTGCATAGAACTCATTTGCATATTCGAATATAACTACAAGACGCTGTTGGTTAATAAAGTTCATGCGTAAGTCAATTGGTTACTTTAATCACTTTAATAAGACGTTTCACGCCCCGACTCCAAATAAAATGTTCAGTTAATTAGATTAAAATATACATGACTTGCGTTAGAAAAGTGCAATCTTTTCATACATGCCAAAGCATTAGTTTCTATTATAAATGACTAACTTTATAAACTTACTAGAGCCTGTGTGTTCTAGGGCTGTTAGACGCGCAAAATCGAACACGTTCAAGCCAGAAATAGTAATGAAATATTCACCAGAATACAAGATGAACGGAAATGCTAGGAAACTCCTTTCAGTGAAATTAGTCTTTAATGTTTCGTTCCCAACTATATACGATAACAGAACATTTTTTCTCCCAAGTTTTAGTGCATCACGTGCGCCATTTCACTACAGTAACATTACCTTGCAAAACATAGTCCGTGATAAAATGGTTCGTATTTACGTTTCTACTGAAGTCTGACATTAATAAATAGTTCGGATGTCACATACGTTTTTTTCCACTTTTTGTAATACGTTTTCAGATGTAACAACTATAGGAAAATGGCCGTGCGTATTGAGGTGATTGACCACAAAATTGAAGGCTGCTTGTGGCAGAGGCACTATTGCGTAAAGCGCAAAGGCCTCTGGGAAGGAGATTGCACAGACGTGTGTCATCATATGTTTGCTGG